GGTCTCTGGCCGTGAACCATTTATATCAAATGATACACAGCTAAGAAGAAACCGGCACTTTACTAGAATCTCATTCAGTCATTAATAGCTCTCCAGTCCATCAGCACATCATATGAAAAATGTCTCCCAGGGCAAGGCCCCTCAAGTGTGCAGACTTTCTATTCAACCTTAATAGGTTCCAGAAACCAGAGTGGTCTCAGCAACATACGGCTTCACCCTTTCAGGCATCTGATAAAATTGAGTTAAGAGGCAGTATCATGTCTTGCTCTGAGCCTCTTCCAAGGTGTTAGTGTAATATTGGATTTCCCTCCTTACATAACCCAGTTTCTAAATGGAATGTCTGTTGAATTGAATGGCTGTAGGTTGTGGGTTTTTCTGCGTGGACATATCTAGGTATGTATGTCAATATATTTTTAAATATTGTAGATGTTAGTATTGATGTTTGGGGTTATTTATTTTCTATTGGAGCATTTTTTAAGTGTGTAGTTCCACTAACTGGTTGCCCTGTGTTGGTTCAGGAAGATCTTAGAGGAAGACATGAGTAAAGGTAGATTGCAAATTAGGAGGTAAATAAATCATACAGGTTTCCCCACTATCCAAAAGTAGAGCCTTCCTATGGAATCTTTCGTAAGTGGAAACGGTGTAAAGGGAAGAAGCAGTCACCCTAGGACACATCTAGCTCACGGATGCACAAGGTAAACTGAGACAAAGTGCAGATGCTCACAGGCACAGTTCAAAGTTATGGCGGCTTGATGCCGAGATGCTCAGTGTAGTTCCCGGGGAAGGAGCTTGGGGTGCTACTCTCTCTGCTCGGGGTGCACGCTGCCTCCATAACAGCTCACTGCAAAACAAATGCTGAATGCTATTTTCCCTTTTCACCGTTTTTCATAAAAGTGAAGATCCTCTTTGGATTTCTTTCAGTTAGGAAAAACAGGTACTAATGTAGATTTTTCATAAAAGATAAGTGGCGTAAAGGGAAATTTCGAAAAGCAGGGGACACCTGTATTTAGGTAATTGAAAGTAGTAAAGAGTGCTAAGAAAACCTGTGGTTGATCAGAACGGTAGGAATTGGGGATGTTGAAGAAGAGATGTACCTGGGATGGATGGTGACTTGCTGAACTGGTTCCTTAATTTGGACATTAAATAGTTAGTAGGGAGTTGTAAAGGGTGGAGGGATAATCTATAAACATTTATGCTTGAACCGATGTAGTCGAAATAAGGAGGAAGATGCTAAAGAACGATGTACTGTTCTAGAACGATGATTCTCAAACTCTTCGAACAAGGCCTATGAGTTGGGGCGAGAAACTCTCATAACTTGTTGCCCCGTCCACATCTTCTCAAGCGACTCTGTGATCTTGGGCAAGCCGTTTAACTTCTGTAAGCCCCTGCTTCCAGCAGGGAAAATGAGAGTGGATAGGTGCTTTAACAGTGTACTAGGGGGAATTCCGGTGGTTAGCACTCTGCACTTCCACTGCAGCGGGCACAGGTTCCATCCCTGGTGTGGGAACCGAGGTCCCGCATGCCGTGTAGCATGGCCAGAAAAACAGAAAGTGTACTAGGAGCAGGAAGGAGCTGAAGGACAGGTTGAAGGCAGTATGGACTCCCAGTCCAGTGCTGTCTTCCACGTCTCTCTCCCACTGAGCTTTGTCTTTATTTTAGCCTGTGAAAGTCTACTCTTTAGAAGGAAAGCTATAGTTTCTTTTCAACGAGAAGAAAAAAAGGATACCCAAATTATCATATTATCCTCAGCATTTCAGTGTCACGCTGAATGTCTCAATATTATATGTATGTTATTAAAAGAAGTTAATGTGGGATTAACAGATACACACCACTGCATGTAAAATAGGTAAACAACAAGGACCTCTACTACATAGCATAGGGAAATATATTCAATATCTTGTAATAACCTATAATGGAAAAGAACCTGAAAAAGAATGTGTGTTTTGTGTGTGTGTGTGTGTGTGTGTGTGTATGTATGTATATATGTATATATATATATATATATATATAACTGAATCACTTTGCTGTACACCTGAAACATTGAAGATCAACTATACTTCAATAAAAAAATAAAGATAAAAAAAGAAGTGAGGTTCCTGGGCAGACAGTTTTCTGTCTTATGTTTTTGTTTCACCATCTCATATTTATTTTCAGTTTCTCATTTTCTTGTATAATTATGCTTATAAAACCAAAAACCTGACACTTCAATACAGGCATTATCCAGACTGAAGTCGTCAGTGCATCTGCTTTATACTCCTTTTCCCCCATTTTTCAGGTCCATGCCTGTGATACTTCTCTCCTTAGTGCAACTGAAAGACGAAAACATTCTTAAATTTTTCTTAAGACTTTTAGGACCTATTGTTAGCACGGCCTTGTGAAATTATGGCAGTTTTATTATTTTATCGGTAAGATGTTGAAATTATCTCAGTGGTGTTAAATAGCAGGAATACTGTGTTAATTCTCTATCAAGGAAAGCCAGTCAATCACTGGAACCCAGAGTTTCCTTGTGTTTTAAGTATAGTCAAAGAGGTGCATGGAATCTAAGACAAAAAAATGTCATGAAGAACCTAGGGGTAAGACGGAAATAAAGACACAGACCTACTAGAGAATGGACTTGAAGATATGGGGAGGGGGAAGGGGAAGCTGTGACAAAGTGAGAGAGTGGCATGGACATATCTACCAAACGTAAAATAGATAGCTAGTGGGAAGCAGCCGCATAGCACAGGGAGATCAGCTCGGTGCTTTGTGACCACATGGAGGGGTGGGATAGGGAGGGTGGGAGGGAGGGAGACGCAAGAGGGAGGAGATATGGGAACATATGTACATGTATAACTGATTCACTTTTTTATAAAGCAGAAACTAACACACCATTGTAAAGCAATTATACTCCAATAAAGATGTAAAAAAAAAAAAAGAGGTGTATACTTACTCTAGCAAATCCTTTCTGGTAAAGGCTAGAGGTGAAATTGTCAGGAGGGGCACCTGCCCTGGACTCCGTGCTTGGAGGAAAACACAAGGGCTCTCCTCCAGCTGCACGGCTCTCACACGATGAGGAGTGTGCAAGGTGAAGAATTATCCACGTGGAGTTCAGGCGCTTTCCTTCACCACTGCCCTCCAGGTATCTGGAACCCCAGAATTCCCTGCCCAAATGGCCCCAAATCCGCTTCTATCCAGGAAGTGGCCAAGGCTGTTTATGGAGAGAGCATGTAGATGAGCCTTAACATAAGGGCTGTTGCGCCCACACCTGCACAAGGCTCCACTCAGGGTCAGACAGTGGGGCTGAGGAGAGGGGTGTCAGACCATAGGCAGTCAAGGGGGTGCTGCTGTCACCCCTCCACCATCTTCCTGTGTAGAACTCTGAGGAGTTGAAGAATCCTGAATTCGAACCTAGCCTTCTAGGACATTATGAAAGTATATTTCAAGGTACAGCATAGAACATATTTTATTAAGCAGTTGTTATTTGTCTGATTTATAACTTTCACGTATTTAGGCATATAGATGGGGGTCTCATATTGTATTACCACTCTGGGTCCCAGGAAGGTCTAGAGGAAGGGATAAGGAGGTCGTTTGAACCTTCATTTCTTCTTGGGGGTGAGCCTAGGTCCTATGATCCTTCATCGGTCCAGTACTGGATTAGGCCTTCCGGGATAACTCTGGGGCGGTACCCTTAGCTGTAATCCGGTCTAAGCTTTGCCCTGGCAACGATGCACTCTTAAGTTTATGTGCATACCGAGCTACCATGGTGACAGATGGAAAGATTTAGTGACCAGGGTCTTTGGGAGCAAAAGCGACAAGGAAGAAGAGAATTGGATGAAACTGTGGCCAAAATGATTTCTTAGGATTCTAAGTGAATTTTAGTTTTCCACTAACCATTGATTATTCGATGTAGGACCTTCACATCCTGAGGTCTGGAGTAAATCTTTCTGCACCTACTTAAATATTTTTAGGTTAAAACAAAGAGCATAATTAGGATAATAGGGTGCTTTATTAGGATTAATTCCTGACATCTCTGTAAATGCTATTTTATAAAGAGAGGAAATTATGAAACAAAGTCTACTCTGGCATGCTGTTTACATCTGAAAGAAAATTTACAAGTGAAAATATTCATGCTTTCAGAACTTCTGTAACAAGATCTTCCAATCCAAGTGGTATTATTTTGCTCTGTATACAAATAATATTTCCTGAGCTTAGGGTATTAATTTCAAATATTTCCCATATTTATAGAAATACTTGATTCCTTTTGTTTATTTGTATTTTAGTACCACAGACTTGGCATCTTCAGTTTTTCACTTAAATTAATTTTCCAGATAATCAGAACTTACACCCTTAAACCTAAGTTTATTTTTTGTTTTAATCATATTTTGACCATTGAAATGTTCTATAATTCATATATATATGAATTTTGTTTGTTTATATATAATACACATATACAGAGACACAAGAATGTATATTTTTCCTGCCTTTATCAAAGAAATATTTCTAAGTTATTGAATAGTGCTGGTATTGTTAAACCTTAAATATTTGAGTTTCAGGACTTTTCCATTCTGTAAGAAAAGAATTTAGAATGAGCTTTGTTGATTATCAAATATCTTTCACATCTACAATTTAATTATATAGCTGTTATAGGCTTAAAGGATGGAATTACTTTAAAAAGTAAATTTAAGAATGAATAAACTAGACTTTAATTTCTTAGACTATAATGGTTTTAACATGCTATAACAACAGACATGAGAAAATAGCACTCATTTTATAGAGCTTATTTTTCAAATTACAGAAGTACTTACAGGTTTTAGAAAATGGATATCACAGGAAACAAAATGGAAAAAACTAACACTATAAGATTTTCAAAATACTGATGAATTTTTAAAATGTCATAGGCCTGTTAGTGAAACTCAAGCTCACTAAAGAGCAAACGCTGAGCCTGTGTTTTTGCATGGTAGGTCTGAGAGTACTTCTTATTTAATTTATTCCTCACTAAGAGAAAATGAATCACTTTCTAGGTTTGTACTACAGAAAGTGCCAGTTAATTTCCAAGGAAGATGTGACTCATGATACGAAGCTTTTCTGCTTGATGCTGCCACCAAGCACACATCTTCAGTTGCCAACTGGGCTACATGTTTACTTCAAGCTAACTATTACAGGTAAGGCAAGCAGAGGCTTTGCAGAAGCATTTTCTTCTTTTATAAGCAGTTCGGAATCAGTACTAATCTCTCGAGGAAGTGCCCATTTAGGTTATAAACAAAATGTTTCTGGGCAGCTAGACTTAGTGATAGCCAGATTCTAGGTTTGTGGATGCAGTGATCCTACATGTGGGAACTATAGCTGTGCTGCATCATTGTATGAACAAAGAAATTATCACTAGTCACAGAGGTAGTGCCACCAGCATTGTAATTTATTACTAACAAAGCCTTAAAGGAAAGAGGTGAGGGAGCACACAGATGGTCTTCTGTGAAGACAGCTGCCAGAAACACACACTAACGTCTCTTATTTAGCCGCTTACGGGTCTGTCATTTATGAAGTTGAATTTATAAAACTGAGAATGAGTGGATGATTATAAATGATTTCCTTGCATGTGCCGCTAGTATAAGAAGCTCTGTAAACATACTCCTTACTGTGTAAATTCTTTTTCCCTCATTTTCATCCTGAAATTACCTCATTTACTTGTTTTAAATACCTTTCTTACCGATGTCTAATATCTTAGTCTTTTGAAACTGCAGAAGATAACACTCCTAGCCTTTCCAGCAATCAGCCTCAGAGACTACCAGCCAGGATTTGGTGACTATGGTTTATTATGATGGCACTGTTCAGTTTTTCTCTTCAACATCACTAATGCCAAGTTATCATTCAATAGCTGGTATCTTCCCCAGTGTGGTTATTGTCAATGTATTATAATTTACACATAGATTAATTTTTGTATATGTGATGGAACCATTTATAAAATTTTGGTCTTTCAAATATGTGATGACTCCTCTTTCTTTGGAATTTGGCTAGCTAAAATATGACTTCTTATTAATTTTACCCTGTTTTTTATTATTATATTCTTAGAAGTAGTTGGATTAACATTCTTTTCAGTTACCAAAGTAATATATAAAATATTAAATTGTTAAAGCAATTCAAAATATATAAAGTAAAAAGTGAAATTCTTCCCTTCCTGGAGCTCAAATGATCCCACTGACCATCAGAATCCCTTGTTAAAAATTTGGTGTATGGGGACTTCCCTGGTGGTCCAGTGGTTAAGACTGCATGCTTCCACTTCAGGGGGCACGGGTTTGATCCCTGATCGGAGAACTAAGATCCCGCATGCCGTGTGGTGAGGCCAAAAATAAATAAAATAAAATAAAATAAAATCTTTTAAAAAATTGGTGTATAATTTAAATTATTATGTAAGTACCTTCTCGCATCTCTGTGTACACTTTTAATGACATTTTTGTTTTGGCCTATTACAAAGCTTACATGCTGATGGTGTAGATGGTTGTCTAAGTTTATTAACATAAAACCCCATCACCTTATGCCACGCTTAATAAAAACAGATTATTTATATTATGGGTAGATTACTGATTTGTTAAAATTATCTCAGCACACATAGGTTTAGGGTATATATACATGTACTACATACATATAGAACATAGAATTAAGTTCACATTAAGTGTACAGTTTTAAATATATACTGATAGCATCATAAAATTTGTATGCTTCATCTTCATTTAGATTTTTAGATTTGAATTTCTTTGTTGTGACTTTTTCCAGGTACTGAAATTGTGAAGCCATATACACCTGTATCTGATTCCTTATTCTCAGAGTTCAAGGAACCAGTTCTTCCCAACAATAAATACATCTACTTTTTTTTTTTTTCTGCAGTATGCGGGCCTCTCACTGTTGTGGCCTCTCCCGTTGTGGAGCACAGGCTCCAGACGCGCAGGCTCAGCGGCCATGGCTCATGGGCCCAGCCGCTCCGCGGCATGTGGCATCCTCCCGGACCGGGGCACGAACCCGCATCCCCTGCATCGGCAGGCGGACCCTCAACCACTGTGCCACCAGGGAAACCCATACATCTACTTTTTGATCAAAATCTCCTCTGCTGGGGGCTTCACACTAGAGCTTGATCATCTTCAGATTGGTTAGTATATATTTTTTTAACCTAGATTGTGTTCTGGATTGGATCACATGTTCCACTTTCTTTTAGTTATTTCCCTGTGGGAGTCTGTCAAATATCTTAAACTCATCATGTCTGCAACCAAAGTCGTGTTCTCTTAGTCCAACCAACCTATCCTTGCTTCCACATTCCTCATCTGTTATTTGCATCATCACTGTTCATCCTTGACCCAATCTGGAGACTCGAGTCATCCCTGCATCTTCCCATTTTCTCCCTCCCAATCCAGTCAGTCACTAAGTTTTATTGTCTACCTCTCAGTGACTTTTTAATCTTTCTTTTCTATCCCTTCTGTCACCTTCTTAGATCAAGCCTTCATCATTTCTCTCTTAATCTGTAATTGGTCTCTCTCAGTTGCCTCTAACTGGTATCTTTCTATTAATCTGCATTTTCCAGTTCTTTTTCCATACTGCCTTGATGATAGATTTAATCATGTTGCTCTGCAGCTTTGACGCCTTGGATGGGTCTCCACTACCTGAGTAGCACAAGTATTTTGTATGGTGAGAGGTGAAGCTGGAAAAAGCATCCAAGTCTTTGCAGGTCACGAAGAGGACTTAATCAGTTAGTGCAGAAGTTTGTCATCCTCATTCTTAGGTGCTTGAGCTTTTTAGAATGACTCTCTCTACCTGTCAAGTACATTTTTAAAAATATTTTTTAAAAATATCACTTACTTTATGAAGCCTCCCCCCTCTTCTGAACCCCTCGATAACTAACACTTTGTTCATTGATCTAGGATAAGAATAAATAATATTCCTTCTGTACAGGACTTTGAGTTTAAGGATAGATATGCCTTATTTTTGTATTTTCCATACCCAGCAGGTCAGTTAGCGCATAACAGGCTCTCAATAAAAGTACTTTGAAAGAATTAATAAAGGAAATATAAGGAAATCTACTAATATTTAGAGACCGCCCCCCTTCCTGTTTCTACTCCTTTTTCTGTGTCTTCAACTTTTCACTGCCTTTTGCCTAACAATAAAAGAGCTCTTCCCCTTTTAAGACAGTATTAGCAGTAATATCGAGTGAAGTAGATCACGAAAATTTGGAAATAGAGAAAATTTGCTGCTCTCTGAAAGTTAAGCTCAGCAGTCCACATATAATAGATGTGATGAGTCACCTTTGGTTACATAAATCAAAATATTGAACATAAATGTGAACCTAAAGAATTTTGGAATACCTACAGATCTAGTGAAGGTGATATCACCTTGTGAAGGACTGACAACATGATTGTAATATAGCAGCTGGAAACTTAACTGATGGTATTATAACCTATCCATAGAGATTGTGTAGCAGAGAGCAGGGTGGAGAGTCAGCATAGAGCATGGTAAAGGAAAGCCAAAATAGCAAGATCAGTGTTTTTTCAACTTCATCTAGGGGAACTAGTCATGACACAGATACTGGTGCCACCTAGAGGGTTGTACACTGGCATGGCAGTG